TATATATATATATATATCTGTGTGTATACATATATTCGAATGCGACATTGTATATTTTATATAGACTTCATACAAAGCTATTAATTTTTATGTGTGTGCGAGCTGTGCTCGTGTGCATACAAGATATCATTCAGATGTATATGTATTAATCGGCCACTTTCTAGTGCGTTCTACATTGCTCTCACTTAAAAATCTTGAATGATTTCTCGGATTTGTATAATCGCATTGAGAGGCTAATAGTTTATGTCTGTGTTACACTGTTACAACATCTGCAATAGCCTCTCATTCTGACTTTCACGTGTTCACTACTTTTGTTTGTACACATTCACGCCTGTTTAGCGTCGACTATCAACATATTTTGATGCTATCATGCGTTTAAGTAAGTCACGTATATACACAAAAGCCACTCAGTACGGATTCGGTTCAACCTTCCAGCCCCGAGTGTCAAACAACGCATAAATTTTAGTCTACATATCAGCTTTCCTGCCATGTCTCCGTAAATGCTCATTTCGCACTCCCCACATCTATTTCGGCAGCGCAAGAACTTGCGAATTCGGAGGACCGGCAGAAACAATTCAAAAGCTTCCCAAAAGTATGTGCCCCTGCAATGGGTCTATTTCATACGTTTAAGTATAGCTGCCGTGTTATGTTATGCTATTGGGAGTTGAGATCAAACCCAATCGAAACTTGGTATAGTCACCTGTGCTCTCTTGCGATCGATTAGGTGTTTTGTCAAGCAAACTTGCGAGTGACTGGAAATGTACGCACGATGCCGGGGCTGAAGTGACTATGTTGTGTATGCGTGTGTGTGGAGGCTACCAGTACGGCGAGACGCTCTTTGTTCAAACAGCATCGAGAACTCTGTACTGACCACCGCATTGCTGTACTCCACTTCTAGGATTACCCCGAGAATGTGAAGCGGATCATCGGCGAAATCGGTCGGTACCACCAAGAGATACCACTGTTCAAGATTAGTCAAACGAAAGACGTCTTCCTTAAGGTGTGTGTACCTGCACGATAGACTATATGAAGAAGGAAGTGGTGTAGTTCACTGTTCAAGATCAGTCAAACTATAGACGTCTTCCTTAAGGCGTGTGTACCTACACGGTAGACTGTATGAGGAAGGAAGTGGTGTAGTTCAAGCGTGCCTTTGTGCAAGTTAGTGCGACTGTATTGTCCGGGGTTCCCCTTGGGGAGGTACCGAACTTACACAGTATTGTGCGGATGTAGGCCGTTTAACAGTGAGATATATATATATATATATATATATATATATACATCATGGAAAGGTGCGCTTGGCTCGTGTTTGCTGGGTTCGGGTCTTTTCTGTCCTACACCCTTATCTCGGGGCGAGGGCTTATTGAATGCGATGAGTCGATTTCTCGTTGTGGATTGCTTTGTATGGCAGTTGGGTCGCTAGGCGTCGTGTCGAGGACGAATCATTCGGTGACGCACATGTGCAAATCCTGCCATCCCCCCTTATTGCGCACCCCATTGTTTACACCCGAGCACACCAAGTGACGCACTCTTCAGCTTGATAGCTCCATAGCTCTAGCTGAACACCTGTATGTACCTACCGGAGCCTCTACTCGGCCTTCTTACGCCCATTTGTTGTATTGGACTATATCTATCAGACCGTGTCTGTATACCTGGCGAGGAATCCACAGCAACAGCACGACCCCACACTGATTCACATGGCCGGGCTATTCGTGTACGTCTACCACGACTCCCCTTCCGAGCTCTACTTCTGTTTCGAAGCTCTGATGGACCGTCTGGGTAGGTGAATGCGGCACTGAAACCCGTTGCATGTTGTGATCTTCTTCTTGTATGTACCGAAATCCATGCTCTACACACATGTAGTTGACATTGGGCCAGTCGGTGGATATGGCGTGGGTGTATGTCTATAAAGCGCTGGTGTAATTTCTGGGTTGGTAATGGTTTTATTAAGACCTCATTTGTTTGTGAAACGTGGACCAGCATTTGTTATATGCTGCTCTGGTCGCTTAAGACCATTTGCGGTTGGATAGGCGGCTCTAGTATTGGGACGCTCTCATGTTCCTTATATGTACATCGTTTTACATTCATGCATTCCGGTACTCATTCCGGTACGCCCAGTGTTCATGGCACTCTCATTGTGCGCACGAAATCAATCGCTTTGCCTGTGCTTGCAGTCATCCATCCAGTGATACAGTTAGGCTTAAGCCACACCACCATCACTTTCGTCACTTTCTTCTGATGCTGTGTATACTAACAATATCCTTTAAATTGATATTCCAGGCTTCTCCGACCCCAACAACCACAATCGCGCGCTGAGTGACTTCATGAACGCCTTCCGCATGTCCATGCCTGAGCTGTACCACCACTTCGAGGACGAAGAGGTGGACGCGAGAGATTGGGCGTTGAGTTGGATGAAGTCTGTGCTGGCTGTAGAGCTGCCGCTGCCCTGTGCGATGCGTCTGTGGGATACGTACTTTGCCTACCACGAGGATGGCTTTGCGTTACACCCCTATGTATGCCTAGGTGAGCAGAGACCGAGTTGTACTTGTGGTTGTGTGTGTAGGTGTGGTGTTACATCCCTATAACCCTATAACCCTATAAGGCCAATGGCATAGGTACGTGTTGTTGCTATGATGTATGCGGAGTATATCTACCGCTCTACACGTGTTGTCGTGCCCTTGTTTCCGTTGGGTTAAGGTGTCCACCGCAAAGTTATACCAGTCGATTGGTTCTATCACTCGAAAAACAAAAAAACAAAAAGAAGCTCAACTTAACCGCATACACATTCTGGTGCAGCTATTCTGCGGTATCTGCGGGAAGATCTACAGGACTACGAGCGAGACGAGATCATCCACCGCCTGCGCCATCTGCCCGAACTGGACATTGACATGGTGTGTGCTGAGGGTGTTGACGGGTGTTTGTGAGACACGTACGTATGTGCCTTCCTCTATGCGGTCATGCACGTGATATGTACGTGCTGCCTGTGCCGACATTGACATGGTGTGTGCTGAGGGTGTTGACGGGTGTTTGTGAGACGCATACGTATGTGCCTTCCACTATGCGGTCATGCACGTGATATGTACGTGCTGCCTGTGCCGACATTGACATGGTGTGTGCTGAGGATGTTGACGGGTGTTTGTGATACACATACGTATGTGCCTTCCTCTATGCGGTATGCACGTGATATGTACGTACTGTCTGTGCCGACATTGACACGGTGTGTGCTGAGGGTGTTGGCGGGTGTTTGTGAGGCACATACGTATGTGCCTTCCTTCATGCTGTCATGCACGTGATATGTACGTACTGCCTGTGCCGACATTGACGCGGGGTGTGCTGAGTGAGTTCACGAGTGTTTACCTCCCTGTTGTAAATGGCTCACGAATGTACACTGTCGCAACCAGACAGTCATACGTTGACCTTCGTATTCCATACTTACCAACGGTTTGATTGATGGGGTTGATACTGATGCATGTGTGTACAGTGACACGGGTGTGTGCTGAGTGTGTTCGCGAATGTTCCCCAGTCATTTGTGTATATCTCTTCAGCCTGGTATGTACATGCTTTGTACTCACTGACTGGGCTGGGCATGGGTATGGTGTGTGAAGAGTGTGGTTGCGAGTGTCCATTACCCACTTACTTGTAAGCCTGTATATTTACGTTGTGCCTGTGTTTCCTTTTTCCTCGACTCCTTTGAAACGTGGCAGCATTGAAATGTTTATATATACAATCCCATCCTGTTATTACGCTGGTACTATATATATGTGTGTTGTACTTGATCACACACTCGTTAGTTCGTTCCGCCTGATATCCTGGTCTGTATATGTGCCTTTTCGTGAGTAAATGCCACTCTACATGGGTATTCTTCTCATATCGGAATATTAATAATTAACCAATCATTACTTTAGGCGCCGTTGCGATTGTGTGCTTTTGACCCTTGCAACGAGTTGATTTTTCTCCTATGCTAACTATTCCCTCCGACGCGAGTGTCGATCTTGTCCAAAATCTTAATTATGTCATATATATATATATATATATATATGTATACATACGCACACACACACACACACACACACACACACACACACACATATATATATATAAATATATATATATGTATATATATACTTATGTTTATACGTATATATACGTA